ATGAGCCATTGGAACATACTATGGCCCTTAGTGTTACACCGTGGGATGCCACTTTCTTCTTGGATCATGTTTAGAAACTGCTGCCATCTGTATTGTCTTACTTGCACTTTATGTTATTATGGGACTTTTACTGTATTTATTGTTTTATTGTATTTTATCTTGTGTAAGCTGCCTTGAGCCAGTTTGCCCGGCAAGGCAGGATATAAATGGAAATAAATAAATAAGTGTCTTCAAAATGGGGGCATGCTTAGTGGAGGAGCTCCAGAGACCATGTGGTCTACAGTCCTCCAAAACCCGGAGCCAGCCCTGACTTGGGACTTCCTGGCTGATAGATCATCTTTGAAGGTTGCATGCTCCATAGACACCATCCTCAGCCATTTCATTTGCATCCTCTGCATGCTTTTAGTGTCCGTTCTTGCTCTCTGGCAGAAATGGCTTGAGAGAAGAAGAAGAGATTGGATTTATACCCCACCTTTCACTACCTGAAGGATTCTCAGAGCGGCTTACAATCCCTTTCCCTTGTAGGTGAGGCTGGTAACAGAAAATGTCCAGTGGTGCTTTCCCCTACCACCATCTTTGGCAGTAAAGGTGTATTTCCTCATTCTACCATTATTATTATCATTATCATTATTATTAATTCAATTTATACCCCGCCCTCCCCGCCAAGGGAATCTGAATTATGGAATCTGATTTTTAATAGCTTTCAGTAGGATTGCAAGATCTTTTCAGCTGAGCTTATGTGTTAGGCTGCTAAACTGAAGTCTGTTGCCTTTTCATACAAGTTATTGGGATGTATTTCAGTTCCCTCTACTCATTTATTGTTGAACATAACAAGCATTGGTCCCTGTAGCTTAGTATTGTCTGCTTGGATGGGGAGTGACTCTCAAGATCTTGGGACTTCCTAGCCAGGAGTCTTACAGCTGGAGATGCCGGGGACTGAACCTGGGACCTTCTGCATGCAAAGCAGATCCTCAGCCACTGAGCTGCAGCCTCTCTCCCTATTACTTACCCTGAATCTTCAGGGTGGCACGAGCTATAAATTCAAATACACAAATAGGACAATGTTAGCATTCGTCTGGCCTCTGGAAGGAAAACCAATTTCCTTTATGCTAATAAAAATCCGTAGTGCAGAGCTTGAGTAGACAGTTTATGTCTGAATGTCAAAATTATTAATAGAGGAAAACAATTCTGTCGGAGTGATTTCAAAGAAAATCATAGATACAGTAGGAACGTGCAACATTAACTTTGCTTTGGAAACACATTGAGCACTTTTACCTTCTTTTTGTCTACTTATTGTGATCCAAAAAGTCTGCTTGTCCACCCCACCCCACCCCTGTATCCTAACAAATTACTCTTGGGCTTTGGAATTTGGAGGGCCTTTTATATTGAGTATTAGTTACTTGAAGACTGTGTGTGTTCTTCAATTGCTGCTCTGGCTCCTTGCAGTATTTATTAAAGGGCTGACTTGGCACAGTTTGTTCCTTGGCTTCTGAGACTGAATCTCATTTGTTTTTCAGCAGTGCATATTCATGGCAATCTCAGCATCAATGCCGCAGACACACCACTCATGTCTGTAAGGGATGGTGCTCACAACTACTTTGCCTGGCCCCTGATTAATTTTCCTTAATGTCCTTTAACTGCCCCAGTGTTCTTGCAGACCATGTGGCAAAAAAGAAAAGAAAAGAAAAGGTTTTTCAGTCTTGATCAATGCATAGTTAAGGATGGAGTGAGGATTTAGGTTTCTCGTCACAGTGATGAATATGCAACGTGGGGAAGACTTGTAGTTTGGGTATAATTTTATATATTTATAACATTTTAAAGCCAACTTTACACCCAACTTAGGGTCCCAAGGTGGCAAACAATCAAAAACAGGAAAGCAACCTTGTAAAAACAATCAAACAAAATGCACAGATGGGAAGGAGGTCAGTGAGAGTAAGTTGATGGAGCACCAAAACTAACAGAATTTTATTTATTTATTTATTTATTTATTTTTATTTATACCCCGCCTTGCCTGATAAGCAGTCTTAACCTGTTGGGAAAAGAATCATAGAAAGGGGCAGATGAATCTTCCTAGGGAGGGGATTCCATAGTTTTGGGGCCATGACCGAGAAGGCCCTGTCTCAGATTGCTACGTATCTAGTCTCAGATGGCGGGGGCATCTGAAGCAGGGCCTTCAAAGATTACCGTAATGGTTGGGTAGGTCCATATGGGAGTAGGTGGTCCTTAAGGTATGCCGGCCCCAACTTCCACCTACTCCTATATGAGTCTGCCAGACAATTAAGATCAGCATTAGGGGCCTAGGTCTGCGTGCCCCCCTTACCATCTTGAAATAAGGAGCGTGGTAACCAAAAACATTGCCTTTTCTGTGATGGTGCCTTGTGTGTAGAATGTGGTTTTTCTGATACCTGGCCTGTTAAATTCTAGGCTCTAAGAGAAAGGCTTTTTCTTTGATGGGGGCCATTGATTAAATTGTGTTGCGATTCCTATGCACTCATTTTGTTTAAAACTTCATGGCTCCCTCATGCTAAAGTGTTCTCTTGCTGCTCATGTTCTGCTGCTTTTATTGATGTTGCTGAGGCTTGTAATTACACTTTTTTATTTTGTTCTTAATAACACTGTTGTATGCCTCTGAGTACCTTCTGGGAGAAAGTGACTATGGTGTTGCTGGGTTGCAAGCCTTTGGCCCCCAAGATACAGGTTCTGGGACTCATTCTCAGGGCTGTCAGCTAGCTGTGCACACATCATGGTTTCTTTGTATGCCTGCTGGCATGAGAGGCAATACACTGGCACCAATAAGCGGAAACTACATTTTGAAATTAAACAGGCTTTTTGTTCATTTTTGTGTGTGGTGACTTGCCCATTCCTTCGAAGCCACATAAATCTACATGTATTCACAGCTACATTGTGGTACAATTCCTTGTGGGGTGTGGAACTACTATTAGTACTGCTGCTGTCAAGAGCTCTCTCAGCAGTTTCTGTCAAGAGCTCTCTCAGCCCCACCTACCTCACAGGGTGTCTGTTGTGGGGAGGGGAAGGGAAAGGAGTTTGTAAGCTGCTCTGAGACACCTTTGGGTAGTGAAGGGCGGGGTATAAATTCAAACTCTTCTTCTTCTTCTCCTAACGAAACAATTTTTTTAATAATGCAGAGTATAAAATGTTTGGTCTTGATTGTAACAAAGACAAATAGGGGATGTTCCATAACCAGAAATTTTCTATTGCCACCTCTGTAGAGGTTTGTATAGAGAAGCTGAGAAATTAACCCCCCCCCACACACACACACAAAATATCAAACTTTTAATATGGTACATGCAAACAATATTCAAAACAATCCTACTATAATCTCAGGATCTGGTTTTAGAGTCACTATACAAATAGTTTACTGGGCATATCATTTCCAAATAAATATCCAATTAATGACAGAAATGCTGTGGTACTATTAAATGTCTGAGTTAAAATGTTTGAGTTTAAAAAACACACACTGTAGCCCAGGAGGTGTGTTTAGCAGTGTTCTCCAGTGGGGGCATCCATTGGCACCATAGTGCCTTGCCAGTGTGTTTCCTGGTTCCCGCTTGTTTCTTCTGCAAAGCAAAGAGCTAGTCCTGGCTTTTCTGCACCTTGTTAGATCAGGAGGTGTTTCCTTAAACCCCAGGAGGCATCACCTTTTTGTCTCCAGGGAGCCCCCCCCCGTTCAGAAACAGATGTCTCCATCATAAGATGATGCTTGCTTTGGATAGATATTTTATATTGGTCTTTCTTGCTGTTGTGAAGGTGACCTTGAGATTCCTTTAATAGAAAGGCAGGATAAGAAGGAAGCTGTGGCTAAAGTGCCATCAGCACAGCTCCTGATGTGAGCTGGGAGCACTTCTCTGTTCTTTTGTTCCCTCTGCAAGTGGTGGCATCAGGTTTAATTTACACAAAAAATATCCACATTCTCTGCCAAGGGGTAATGCACATTCTACATCAAGAGAAGAAAAATTCATCATCTTCTTGAATAACATTATATAAATCTGCTTAACTGCCATACAGCTGCTTAGTCCATATCATTTGCTGCTAGATTTGGGTAACAGGAGCCATGCAGCGTATTGAAGCCTCACCCCCTCTGGTTTCTGGGACCATAAACTACTGTGTTTATATTCTAAATGTGATTATTACAGCCATAAGGACTAGAAACTACTTTTTAGAATTCTGCTTGTAATAAAAACATGCATATTATCTGTCCGTAGCTTGGCTGAACTATGACTCTAGCTTGTTTTTCCCACCCAGGCATATATTATGGCCTCCTCCTGGTAGCCTAGAACCTGTTTTTCCTAAAGGTCCCCTATCTGGAGACCCTATGGATGACTATTATCACCTTCCCTAGGATTTCCTTCATCCTGTATGTGATTTGAGATATGGGATAAATTTCTTGATGACATGTTACCATCTCGGCTGTGGGTATTTTGAGTCCACGTGTTATGCCCTGCCTGTGGGCACTCTGGGGGATTCTTTACAGAATTTTACTTCTGTTTCCTTTCAACTGCTCAGTTGACTATGTTGACATTTAATATTGATTATGGCAAACATTTGTTTTTCCATAGCAGAAGATATTTCTATATGTACTCCAAAACCTTTCTTTGTGTTTTATTTTAAATGATGATTTGTTTGGAACAACAGATTCTTCAGAGTATTTTTGTATTTTGGAGCAAGCCAACATTTAGCACCATCTCTTCTGGCCTTCTGTGGTAGCTTAAAGAGATGCTTGCCTTTTGAAATCAATTGATTTTTTTGTGAACAGCTCTGAAATCCATTCTAAACACACCAGTGGTTATCAGTGACATTTTAATTTAATTGAGCAACCTTTTGTCTTGGTGCTTTTAACTAATGGATTCTGTTTTCAGCAATTTCTGATCAGCAGTCAGTTGCTGCTGACTTCCCACCCAACAGAGTCTTTGTTTTGGGTGTATAACATCACTTTATTTCTGACTAGGAAGAATAATGCATTGTGTCCCCTTCCTTTACAGGTTGGTACAGAGGATATACTCTTCGAAATAAGGCCAAAAAGGTATGGTATTGCATTCCCCCCCCCCCCAAATAGTGTGTTTATATTAAATCTCGTCTCCTCTGGCTAAAAGTCATCTTGTGATTTTCAGCAGTATTTTCTGGCTCATCTTTGTTGCACTATGTTCCTCTCCACCCTTTCCAAAATGTCACTGAAATTTGTGATCACGTTAAAAAAATACATATTTCCTGGACTGTGCAGATTCTGCCATTTTGTGATTCTACTTCAGAAGCTTGACATGGAATAGGTGAAGAAGTGAGTGCAGTGAGAATCTCAGGAACCAGGAGGGTATAATTACAGCATTTCATTGTTGATGTTGAAAAAGCAAGCTTCTAGCCCCTATGACTGCCAACAATTGGCTTGAATTTAGAAAGCCAGCAAAAAGGAAACAAAGCAAGATTTGCATTGGTTAGTGGGTAGACTCTCAGTCTCCTGCATAGCTGGTCAGACTGCTTTCAGATAAACAGAATTTATTCTGTCTCATTTATTTTACAAAAATTATTCAGCAGAACAGACTCAATATACAGTGGAAAAGACAGTCTAAAATTCTTGGGTTGAGCAGTGAAATACCTTGTTGCTAAATTATGAAAGAGCCATAGAGAAGCTGTGTCTGCATTTGAGCCTGTTTCTCTAAGACATTTGCTTGAAGACAAGTCAGTGGCAAAAGCTCTCCACTGGGTGTGGTTGTTTTACAAAGCATTCATTATTTTGTTCCTTGGCTGCAATGGTATTGTCTTATTAAGTTGGAGCCTGATCCAGTAACAGTAGTTTCTTTTATTCCAGTATTTTAGAAAGGCTTTTATGCAATAGCGTTTTTTAATTCATGTCAATGGCATATCTGCACAGTAGAGACAGTAAAATTCTGGTAGACTAATGGGATATATACATGACCGAAGTGTAACTGAAGATATGGTTGATTACCTTCTATAGTGTTTTTTGTGCAAGATGAGATTTCCTATCATGTCTTATTATTTGTCTCTCAAACTTTGGAGACCCTGATAAAATTTGCTTCTTGCTGGTTGACTTAATTTGACAAACACATAGTTTATAAATCAGGATTGCTTGCTGGTGGTAGCCGAAAACTGAAGACTGTGTGTACTGTCAGTTGTGTTGCCTTGTCATGGTGACCACCTCTTATGAGCTGACAACTTTGTGAAGTGCTACTTTCTTTCCTTGTTATAGCTCGTCTCCTTGAGACTTGCCTTTTGAACCTGAAATTTTATTTGTATAGCTCTTTGAAATTGCCTTGGTATGTTGTGATATGCAAAGATACTGATTTGCAGTGACCTCTGATTTTAAGGAAGTAACTAACTAAAGAATGAGTTCTTCAAAGCAAGCAGATGGATTAGAGGTTGTGTAACTTTTGTGGATCGGAATTCAGGCTTGTGTGGTTTAGAATCAGATAATTTTCAGAACTCTGACTAAGCACAACTCCAGTTATTTCCCCTGCTCTAGCATTTTGACTGTACTGAAGATCTTTTAAATTGATTTTTAGCAGTGGCCAAGAAAATAGTGGCTCAGACGACCCATTTGCCTCAAATCGGGGGAGGGCGGACATGTGGGAAGTGGCTACTAGTTAGTTTATTTTAAATGTGATCTTTTGGAACTATCAAAAGTTGTTCTGAGGGTAGGACAAACTGTTAGAAGAAACACAGGGCTGCTCCAAAAAATGGCAGTGCTGAATCATATCCCACCTCTGCTTCTGCAACATTTGGAACAATTTATTGTGCGCCCCGATGCCATTATACTGTGCATTTCCATTCCCTTCATCACTGACCACTACTGGCAAGGAGAGGAAAATGCATAGTACACTGGCCTCAGAACAGTGGCTTTGTGGGGAGATATCAAAGGTAGCGGGGTGTTTCTTGCAATGTTTAGTTCTCCTTGTAGTCAGTCCTTAATCTTATGGTCTCTATGTCAGTGCATTCTACCTCCCCAAATTCTAGATTTTATTTCTTTTTGCCGGTGGCGTGTAGACAAGTACACAATTATAAGGGACATGCCCCGCCCAAAAAGAAAGAGCACAATGAGCCTCCCCCAAGCATTGTTCTACTGCCAGATTTCATTTTCAGTGAAATTTACCTAAATCCAGCCTGGGCTGGAAAGGGTCCCCTGGATTCCCATGAGCAATGGGCTGTAGTCTGTAAGATTTACTATCTTGGAGTGTGGCCATTGTGTTGAAGTGAGATAATCAATGCATTCAGCTGCTTTGGAGTGCTTGTCTATTGATGTTCTGAGCAAAATGTCACTTGGTCTTGCTAGATCTATGGAAGTGATTGCAAGCAAGCTAAATAACTCGATAGCGGCTAGAGTCCCAGTAGGATTTAATCCTTCTGCGCTCCTCAGATCTTCAATTCAGAAATTGGTCGTCTTACTGGAAGCACTTTCAGGGGGGAGTTGTGTTTGAATGCTTTTGAAGAAGGAAAGGAGATTGGATTTATACCAATCATTCAGAGTCTCAGAGCGGCTTACAAACTCCTTTCCCCACAACAGACACCCTGTGAGGTAGGTGGGGCTGAGAGAGCTCTTTCTAGAACTGTCCTTGAGAGAACAGCTCTGACAGAACTATGGCTTGCCCAAGATCATCCAGCAGCTGCAGGTAGAGGAGTGGGGAATCAAACCCAGTTCTCCCAGATTAGAGTCCACGCACATAACCACTGCACCAAACTGGCATATGAGCTGCTAATGGGCAGCCAGTGACTAGTCTAACCACATCAGATGTTTAACAGTCCAGGATTAAAAATGACAACCCAGTCATATGCGACCAGAATTTCTGGGGTTGTTTGAAGAAATCAAATCTTTCCTTCAAAATATAATGTAGTGCTCAGAGTTATATGATGAAGGCTCTTGTATACCTGGCCACTTTTTCAGCCTGAATCTTATTTATTTACTAAAAAATGTACTTGTTGCCTCTTGAGAAACCTGATGGAGGTGTCTAGACCTGCTTGAGGCTGCATAGTTCCTAAGCATAGCTCCTTGAAACTGATTTTAGTAAGTCAGAGCATATTTAGGATTTGCAGCCTGTTGGTGACTAGGTGAGCCTATGGCAGTAATCAGACCTAGAAAAGAGTGTTTTCCAGTGTAGTGTCCATGCAGGTAGAAACTCAAAATGGAGCTATGAGCTTGTGGAAGAACTTTTTATTTATTTATAACATTGGTCACCCGCCTTTCGCCCTCGCAGAATTCAAGAAAGCTGACAATATAAGCATCATAAAAACACAATAAAGGTCAGTTATAAAACCCATAAAAGTAACAGCTTAAAAAACTTGTAACACAACAGGCAAGGCAGCTTCCCAGACTCTGAGAACCAAGGGGTTGGATCCAGATGACATTTTCCATCAGTGGAATGGAACTTTCCTGCCTCTCCCCTCTCAGTGCAACCCACCGATTCCCCACATTGCTTCTGGGGGAATAAGGGACCATGAGGAACAAACATGAGTAAGGGGTCCTTTGGAAATTGCCAACTTAGCCTGGATCCAACTTACAGCACCAAGGGCTGTCGTGGTTGGACATCTGCCAAGGTCCGTGACCCAGTAGAGTCTCTGCACCAACCAGGGATGTTTGGCCCATCTTCTTCCATCAGGAACTGGAAATTGTCTGTGCAGACAGGACCTCACAAGTGTAGAGGCTGAACATGACCCTACTCCCCCCCCCATGCATGCACACACTGTGTTCAAGTACACTCGTTTTGACCATTGCTGGTGACTTGTGAGCTCACATGCACCAAATTGAACAGCAAAATGTTTAGAATGTTGGAGGTGAGACTCAAGCAACGCAGCCAGTGGATAGGGACAGATTCTGAGTGACACACCAGGGCGCCAACCAATTCCGGAGCGTGTGAAATGTTCTAGAGAAGTGCCACCACCATTCGGCTTTTATTTATAAGGGAGATTGTCTAACAGTGTAAATACAACAACCATTACATTGAATAAAAAACAGATCATACAGTCCCTCCTGATGCCGATGTTCAGGAGAATTGCCTGTCCTCAGAGGACAAAGAAGGAGCATGGAGGAAGGAAGCCCAAGGATTTCCAGAGTTCAGTACCATAAGACCAAACCATGATTTGGCATCATGTATGAACCATGTGTGATGTCTGAACTGAATTACTGCAACATGCTGCTCTTGGTTATAGTGGGGGAAACGACCTGGGGAAGCTTTTAACCAAATGCAGGTGTGTTCTAAGAGTCAATAAGTTTTAATTCTATAATTCTGGAACTCTTTAGTTATAAAGTGCCATTGTGATTTTTAAAAAATGTGTTCATTTTGTTATTTTACGTTATTCTTAGTTGCTGGACTTCTGCTGTCTTTGTTATGGGGGTGGCTGCATGTGCCCTGCAATGTCTTCTTTTTAAAAATAAGTTCATGTTTTGCTTCCAGGGTATTTTTCCATCTACGTATATTCATCTAAAAGAAGCAACTGTTCAAGATGGCGGGTAGGTTGGAAAGTCTTGTTTTTTATTTAGTAAAGAGAACTAGAAGCACAATAAACCTAACCTTTCCTAATCCTATCACTAATCTCTCCCTTTCCTGTCTACCTCACTATATAAAACCCTACGTACCTAACCTACCTCTGTCTAAAAAGGTCTGACACAGACTGGCATTCTTTCTTAATCTCTCTCTCTCTCTTTCTCTGTTCAGCTCTGTCTCATTGGTTCCTCTTCTATCTCATTCCATCACTCAGAGTCATTCCACTTCATACAGCACTTTCTTCTCTCCCGGCTGATATTCTTACCTTTTAAACCATCTGTCAAGAACTGTGTACCAATTACAACCTTTATGACATTATCTACTGCTCTCACGTGCATTATGTCATGGACTCTACTGCTGCTGGGTTTTTATTTTGGTTTCTACTGAGACTCATTGGTTTTTAGATGCTAATTTCACTGAGGGTTTTTAAAATAGCTTTTGAGTCAAATCAAATCAAACCTTTAATGGCATACAGAATGAACTAGAACAGATTACAGCGTTGTCAGTAAGAGTAATAAAAAGAAATACTTATACAGTTAAAATCATCTATATATCTAATAGCCAAGTTGCCCCCTGAGTGCGGATCGCTAAATCAGCACTCCGGGGGCACTTGGGGGGGAGGGGGAGGTTTGTGCACACGTGGGCCAGTCCCCACGTGTGCACAAAAATCGAAAAAGTTGAAAAAAATTTCGGGGGGATGTTTAAATCCCCCCGAAAGTGACAGAGCGTCCCCTGCGCATGCGCAGGGAACGCTCTGTAGCTGGCCTCGCCGCCGCCGCGCCGCCTCCTCCTCGGAGCCGGG